GCCAAGGTATTCTTCCGAAAATATCGAATTGGTGGCCATCCTACAAACCTGAGCAATGTTAATCGATACAAAGAAAGTGTCATTTTAGAGCAATTCACACAGTCAAAAATCCAAACCAAAAGCAACAACATTCTTCCTAAAAGGCAATGACATACCAAATGCAACTCCACTTGATAAAATAAAATAAAGATAGAAAACAACATCTTTCAATTTTAGCGTTTTATGATTATGATGAAAACTACTTGAACTCCCTAGGCATTAAGCCTAATTTTTTTCCTTTGGTAGCATATGCATCAGGTCCGTGGTAAATGGTACTAACGACACGTGATGAGATGAGTGTTAATTAATAGAAAATGGATTTACCTTCTATTTGTTGTTTTTCCAGATTCAGGGTCGTCACAAGGGACCTACAATGTTAAAAACGCATAAACCACAAGGACCAAGATTGTAATTTACTCTTTTATTTAGTATAAGATTATTTTTTCTTTCACCCTCCTTGTATATATAATTTTAGAGGTGGTTTCATGTAATCGCCGAGTAGAAACAAAAAACAACATATAATTTTGAGAGAACATAATTATTATCATTTACTCATACGATTTAAAAATTAACAAGTAAAATTCGAATACAATTCCAATTATCACTTGTTGTTCGATTATTAGCATACAATTGAAACAAGGTCATTATTCCAATATATCACAAAGTATGATCAGCATCACAGGCCAAGAGAGAAAGGGAAGCCCGTGCCTGCTAACCAATTCCCACCATCGATAAAGTTTCCAGCAGTAAAACCTTGAGCTTCAGTGGCACTTGTTATCACCCTATACCCTCCCCACGTCACTCTATTCGATGTATCTGCCCCTGCCCCAGTGTTTTGATACTCTCCGTAGTACAGTGTATTAAGTGCAAAATCCCCGTCCCAAGGAAACCATCCATCCGGGTGTATCACGTCACTTATGGTTGATTGCATTACCACCGTTCTCGAGTATTCTCTCCATGGTCTCCCTAGGTATGTCGGAAAGCTTCCTTGCACCGGTACAAGGTCGGATGTGGCTCCTATCCTTGATCTTTGAATCACGATTCCTGTATTTTGGTTGGGATCACTTCGCCCTTGAGCTGTGACCATGTTCCTTTGGCTTGGGTTGGGACGACGAGCATGGATATCACAATCTTGTAAGACGGCTGCAGCATTGCCAAAGATGAAATCAACGGTGCCGGCTATGTAGCAGTTGATGTAGAATTGACGATTGGAATGTACGTAAAGGGTGTCTTGGTATGCTATCATGCCACATCGATAGAATGCAGAGAGGTCTGATCCGACTCGTAGTGCAACGGCTTGTTCCCCGGAAGCCCCTGCCGTGTTTTGAAAGGTCAAGTCTCGTGCCAAGAATCCAGCACCCACAGCCGCTGCATGCATATATGATAAAAACAATTAATTACGATAAATAAGTACATACAAACATAGGGGTAGGTTCAAATGAGAAGTTAAACATTTCACAAGAAGATACGAAATTTCAATATCATATATGATTATACACAAGTTTAATCATTATATGATTAAATACATGTTGCACTAGCTAACAATGCATAAATACTTAAGGACACATGATTAAACACATCTAAATAAGTGAATTTGTAATTTCAGTTTTGTTTATGAAATATTTAACTTGTGGAATGATATTTAATTAGTATGCAAACATACATAACTTTTTATTTATTTATTTATTTATTAATAAACAAGTAGAAACAAAAGTAAAAGTAGGTGGTATGCATGTGATTACTGATTACATATCCGATGACAAATATCAGAAAATGAAGGGCTGGAGATTATATATATATATATATATATATATATATATATATATATATATATGTGTGTGTGTGTGTGTGAGAGAGAGAGAGAGTGAGTGAGAGAGAGATGATAGATACAAAGACCAGGACTTTTCAGCAATCTAAGTTGATTAGTTTA